TGTGTGTGTGTGTGTGTGCGTGTGCGTGTGCATGTGTGTGTGTGTGTGTGTGTGTGTGTGTGTGTGTGGTCGTGTGTGAGGAAAAGGGTGGAAGAGGAGCGAGCACCATCATCAGTAGAAAGAACACTGAACACACACACACATACACACATACACACACACACGCACGCACACACGAGACGCTCACCGTCAGCCATGGTGTGTCGTCTGCTGCTGGCGGCTCACAAGTGCATAAATGACGATTAGATGAAGATATGGCTAATTTTCATCACTCCTCGAGCAGCAAAAGCAAGGCGGCCAACGACGAAAGACGACAACAACCCAAGCAAGCAAACAAGGCAATGGCGGACGCACCTCCCCCCTACTCCCCGACACAAGTGCGTTGGCTACTGCGATGGGTACCGCAGCGTGCGCTTGTGCTGTCAGCGCTGCAACATGCATCCTTTTGAGTCACACAGACACCCATTCACACACGCGCGCACACGCACACGCACATACACACACGCGCACGCACATCACACACATACACACATTTTTGTACGCATCCTTTGGCACGAATGCAGAACAACGCCGCCATCCCGACGGCGACACCATACACAGCGCCTGGCCCACAACAAGGGTACCCGCCCCAGGCTGCCTACCCGCCCCAACAGCAGGCACCATACCAAGGGTATCAGTATCAGCCGCAGCAGCAGCAGCAGCCGCCGGTCGTTGCGCATCAACCCACCGGCCAACTGCAAGGCAGGGATCGCGAGACTGCGGAACGGCGGGAACGGGAGCAGCGACAAACAGACACTGCGCTTGGATTGGCGTGTGGCGGCTTCCTGTGCTGCCTCTGCGTTGGCGTTGATCGTGCAGCGGTACGTTCTACAGTGGCAGCTGTTGGATGTTGTTCATGTGTGGGCATGCGTGTGTGTGTGCTGTATGAGGTGTGTGCTGTGTGAGGTGTGTGCTGTGTTTGTGTATGTGTGAGGTGTGCGTGTGTGTGTGTGAGGTGTGTGTGTGTGTGTGTTTGTGTATGTGTGTGTGTGTGTGTGCTGTGTGAGGTGTGTGTGTTTTCATCATGTGTGTGTTTCATTGTGTGATTGTATGCTGTTGCTGTGTCTTCATTGGTTTGCTTGCATGTTGCTGAGCTCTTTGGCACAGAATCGACTCAAAGTTTAGTCCAATACCAGTTCGTCCTGCCTACTCACGCTGCATCCGTCGCTCTCGGCTTGTTCCATTGTGTTTTTGTCACGCAGGCGATGGGCCGCAATGTTGCTGACTTCCTGCTCTGCATGCACGTGGACTGCTGGGGCTTCTAACCCACGCGCTAAATTGCCCCTCGGCCGCCTGGCACACTTGCACACTGTTTACAACAGTGTTTTCCCGTCTTGTGCTCACTTTGACATCATCATCATCAACACCAATAACAATAACAATAACAATAACAACGTTGCCGTGTTGCTTGAGATCTGATATCTTCTTCTTCTTCTTCTGCTTCTTCTTCTTCTTCTTCTTCCGTGTTACACCACGACACTCGCTTCTCGTTGCCTTACTTTCGCCTTTGCTTCTTCTCCTGCTTCTTCGCTTGCTTTGTCGCGTTCAACGAACCCCAGCAACAAAGCAACAACACATGACATGAACGAGTGTTCATGTGTGTGTGTGTGTGTGTGTGTGTGACATGACAGCCGCAACAAAGCACATACATCATCCAACCAAACCTCCGCTGCCCGACATATTTGGACACGACACCATATAAATTCGCGCCTACCGCTGCCATTCGATTGGGCGTTGGCTGCTGCTCTCCTTCCAACACCACATCAACCACGCAAACAACCACGCACACATCAGACAGCCACACGCACACCACAGACAGCCACACGGGGTGCCATCATGGCGACACAACAACAGCAGCATCAGGAGGACCCTGTTGAGTCTGCTGATGATAGCATGTGGCGGGATGTGGAGAGGGTGGCCAACCGTCTCCAGATCACAGACAACACAGACAATGACGAGGACAGCAAGGACAGGACAGCACCGCTGCCGCACCAGCAGGGCCAGCAGGGCCAGCAGGACCAGCAGCCCGTTGTCCAGCACGCACAGACCACAGCAGCAGCGACAGCGATGGCAGCGACAACAGCAGGTTCGTCTTCGTCGTCGACACTGACGGACGGCACAACAGCGTCGACTGAGACCGATGACACGCCGGTCGTGCTGCGCCGCCGCAAGAGCCGGTCCTCCTACAAGGCCAAGCGCGGCGAGACGTCTCTTGACGCCGTGCTGCGAAACCGGCGGCAGCGTGCCGGCAACGACAAGGCCGCTGAGCAGCGCTATTCGTCCATCCAGAAAACACGCCGCCTTGAACTCATGCTGGAGCGGCTTCAGATCTACCGCGAAGACCTCTCCGATTGGCTCTCCCGTAAGATTGTGTGTATGTGTGTCTGTGTTTGTGTGTGTGCGTTCGTTTGTGTGTGTGTGTGTGTGTGTGTGTGTGTCTGTGTGTGGTGTGTTTGCGTGTTTGTATGTGCATTTGTATGTTGAGTGCTTTCGTTTCGGACCATCTGCACACCACAACATACAAATCGATGTCGTGCTCTCCCCTTCCCAACAAACCAACCCTCATGCACCCCTGTCGCCATCACCCCCACTGCCGCCGCCACGACTGTTGCAGGGCTGTTCGACCTGAACCTGACGGAGGAAACACTGCTCGAGGGCATCCGCAACGGTGCGCTGCTGTGCCGGTTGGCCACGCGCGTATGGGAGCAGCGGTCCGAGTGGCGACGGCACACACTGCAGGATCCGGCCACCATCAAGCCGCCAAAGATCAAGGACGGCGTCGACAGCGGTCAGTATTGTGTGTGTGTGTGTCTGTGTGTCTGTGTGTGTCTGTGTCTGTGTCTGTGTCTGTGTCTGTGTCTGTGTCTGTGTCTGTGTCTGTGTCTGTGTCTGTGTGATTTTGTCTTGCTGGTTGTGTGTCTGTCTGTGTGTGTGTGTGTGTGTGTGTGTGTGATTTTGTCTGGCTGGTTGTGGGTCTGGTGTGCTGTTGGATGACCAGGTACTCCCGTGACATCTCACCAACGCCACTTTGATGTCATCTTCTTTGCTCCACCACGCCATAACCAGGTTCGTTCCAGGCACGAGACAACATTGCCGGGTTCCTGGCGTGGGCGAAGGCTGTGGGCACCCCGCAGGCCTGCCTCTTCGAGACCAACGACCTTATCATGCTCAGAAACGAAAATAACATCCTCAACTGGTGCGTCTAGGTGCTTGTGAACAAGTGTCTGTGTCTGTGTGTCTGTGTCTGTGTCTGTGTGTCTGTGTGCCTCTGTTTGTGTGCGTGTGTGTGTGTCTGTCTGTCTGTCTGTCTGTCTGTGTATCTGTCTGCCTGTGCCTGTCTGCCTCTGTTTGTGTGTGTGTGTGTGTGTGTGTGTGTGTCTGTGTGTGTCTGTCTGTCTGTGTGTGTGTGTGTCTGTGCGTCTGTTCTTGTCATCCCCTCGCCCTCTCCTCGTTGCTCTTCTGGAATCGCTGCCCTGCCTGCTCCTTCTTCTCCCCCTTCTTCTTCCTCTTGCTGCATGTCCCCAGCACCACACACCCTCATCGCCCCTCCCCTGCGTGTCCCTCTTCAGCCTGATGGAAATTGCCCGCGGGGCGCCCTTCCTGCCCGTCCTCCCACAGGTGCGATGCCATGGCCACGATGGTGGTGGTGGTGATGAAATGGGTCCCGTGTTGGTGTTGAAAACTGATCATGCTTCCACACGCAGCACGAAGCAAACAAATGTCCAGCGGTCTCACACGCATGCACAACCACACACACACACACACACACACACACACACACACACACACACGCACGCACACACACACACACACACACACACACACACACACACACACACACACACACACACACACAAACACACACACACACACACACACACACACACACACACACACACACACACACACGCACAGCTTGTTGAGTTTGAGCGGGAGATTGACGGGGACAGCGGGACGGGGCCGCGGGCAGAGGCGCTGCCCAACGACGAGCACATACAGACGGTGATGGCCACGCTCGCAGACGTCGAGGAGGAGGAGGAGGAGGATGATGATGATGATGATGATGATGACGAAGAAGAAGAACAGAGGAAAGGTGAGGAACAGGAAAAGGGTGGCGGTGAGGGTGAGGAAGGCACGACGAATGCAGACATCGCAAGTCATAGCCATGGTGAAGTTGAGGGTGGTGGAGATGATGCTTCGCAGCAGCAGGAACAGCCAGCACGGCGGAGGCGACGGAAGTCGAAGGAGTCCAAAGTGAAGCAGATGATGCTGAAACCGCTTGGAAAAGGACAGTATCTGCTTGGAAAACAGGTCCTCCACTGCCGCATCTTCCGCAACGTGGGTTTGTATTAATTTGAAGTGTGCGTGTGTGTTGGGCACTTGTGGATGGTGGTGCAAAATGTGGCGTTGTAGCAGGTGTGTGCCGGGTAATGTTGTAGTTGCATGTCGACGTCACAAAACACGTGCAAGCTCACACGCAAACAACAACACGCATACGCGCGCAAACACCTACACACTCACGCACACTCCACACAATCACACACACACACCTACACACACACACACACATACACACACACACATACGCAGCATGTTGTGGTGCGTGTTGGTGGCGGGTGGGACAGCCTCGAAAATTATCTGGGAACGCATCGCAAGCAGCGGCAGGGGTTTGGCCAACGGTTTGCTGTTGGCACAGGGGGCACGCCGACAACAGCCACCACCACCACCACGGCCTCCACCACCAACGCCAACGCCAACGCCAACGCAACGAACACGAAGACACCGGCGTCATCATCGTCGTCATCAGCGCGTGATGCGCATCCGTCTGGGGAGGAGGCTGCTGTGGTCAACTTGACGAAATCGCCTCAGGTCCACCGTACCCAGGTAGGGGTGTGTGTGTGTGTGTGTGTGTGTGTGTGTGTGTGTGTGTGTGTGTGTGTGTGTGTGTGTGTGTGTGTGTGTGTGTATGTGTGTGTGCTGTGTTGTGTTGTGTACTCTGCATCTACGCTCCCTTGCTTGCAGCGTGGAACCCCTAACCCCTCCTCTCCCCCCACCCCCACCCCTTTCCTCACCATTTCCCGAAAACTCACGCAACCACCACTCACCGCCAATTGCCTCCCCCATCCCTGATCAGTCGAAGGGCGGTGGGAGCCCGTCGTCAACGCTGTCGCCGAAAGCGGACGGAGAAGCCGTCAACATTGCCATCAACATCGAATCTGAATCAGCCATCGACCTCTACGAGAAGAGCGTCCATGCACACGCACACCATGATGGTGACGATGGTGGTGGTGGTGGCAGCGGTGGTGGTGGTGGCGGTCATCGTGATAAGAAGACACCTCACCATGCAAAGGCGTCGTCGTCGTCCACGCCAGCAACGCCGGCAGGAACGGCAGTTGTGCCGTCTCGGGGAATGGCAAGAGGTCGGTCGATGTCGTCAGCGTCACCGTCGACGTTCACGCCTGCAGGGGCAGCGGGCCCGCGCTCGCCGCTGTCCCGGCACAGCTCCACGCCGTCTGCACACGCGCCCGCACACCTCCACCGCCACCGCCAGCCCATCTTCTCTCCCGCCCACCCACAACAACAACAACAACAACAACAACAACAACAACAACAACAACAACAACAACAACAACAACAGCAGCAGCAGCAGCAGCAGCAGCAGCAGCAGCAGCAGTCAAAGCCTGTACATAAGCACCGGTCGCCTCATCGCTCCTCATCCGGCCATGTCCTGCCACGACGGCGCAGCGCAAACGCCGTCAACGGCAACACCGTCGCCACGAGCAACAAGAACACCACCACCACCACCACCAACACCAGCACAACTGGCACGCCAGGTGCCGGGAGTCGTGGTGGTCTGCGCACATCTCCACGACGTCGATCGTCAGCGCGTATGTCCGCGCGGGCCGCAAGTGCAAACGCATCGCTGACATCGCCACTGCACGCGCAGCCGCCGGCAACGACAGTGAAGACACAGGCATCAGCACCATCACCATCGCAGCCGCTGTTGCTGTTGCAGCCTGCCGCTGGGCGGAGTGCCGGTGTCACGACCACCACAGCGATGCAAGCAGTGGCACTGAGTGGGAAGAAGAAGGCGGAGAACAAGGAAGGAGAACAAGAAGAGGCAACAGCAACGGCAGCAGCAGTGGGTGAGAAGAAGGGTGAAAGTGATGACACGAAACGTGACGAAGCAGCAGCTGCTGTTGTGAGCAGTGAGGCTTCGCAGCAAGATGCCAATCATGCAGCCGCTGAGACAAAAGGCGCCAAGAACGCAGCAAGTGGACGGACCAGCTGTGAAGGGAAGACATCAGCACGCCAGTCCACAGCAGCAGCAGCAGCAGCAGCAGCGAAACAGAAGTCAAAGACCAGAGCAGAAGACGAGAAGCCAGGCACGAAGAGGGGCACCTCTCAGCCACGCACACAGACGCGTGCACGCACACCAACCGCTGGGAGTGGTTCGCGAACGCCGTCGCAGGCATCCTCTGCCGCCCCATCGGCCTCATCATCGTCAACAGCACTGCTTCCCGCGGGACCGTCAGCAGCGACTGCACAAACACATACACAGGCGCAGACACAGAAGCAGACTGCAGGTCCTGGTGATGGTGTTGCTGCTGCTGCTGCTGCTAGTGGTGGTGGTGGTGGTGGTGGTGGTGGTGGTGGTGGTGCTCGCTCGGATGAGAAGCGAGGCCGCCGTGGCGACAGCGGCGATCAAAGCAGCCGTGGTGGCCATGGTGGACTGTCGAGCCGAAAGAGTGGCAGCACGCGTCGCCACTCGTCTGGACAGCGGAAACGCGATGTCACAACACCAGGCGGCGGCACCAGCAGTCGCGCACCAAGCAGCAGTCGAGGAAGTGTTCGCGATAAAAGCGGTGGTGGTGGCAAGAAGATGACAAGCGGTGCAAGTGGTGGGGCGATCACCACCAGGGGCAGTAAAGGCCCCGGTAGCAGCAGCAGCAGCGGTCGGAGTGGTGTTGGCAGTGCCAGCCGCCTCAAGGGCCGGAAGGTCAGCTCACCCAGTCCACTACACAGCAGCTCACAGCACCAGCACCATCACACGCCTCACGAACAACAGCCGAAGCACAAGCGGCCTGGGTCGGCGCCTGTTTCTTCGTCATTGTGCTCTCCGAGAGCACGGAAACAGCCGACGGAGGGCAGAGACCACTTGCAGCAGCTTGCTGAAGAAGGGGAGACCACGTCGGCTGGTCCCAAGCGAAGCAACAAGCCAACACCAGCAAAATCAGCACCAGCAGCACCAGCAGCAACTACGCCGTCAGCACTGGCGCCGTCATCGAGTGCTCGACGCGTGTCGCTGCCTGCGTCTGCATCAAAGATCCCGCTGCCAACAACACCCGTTGGGCGGGTGCGCCGTGTGAGCGCTGCACCAACGCCGACAACACCGCACGCGCATTCTGCGCCAACCTCGACCACGGGTCTTCGCAAGCGCAGCGTCCCCGTGTGGATGTCAATGTCAATGTCAATGTCACCGGCGACAACAACAGCGACGGCACGGTCGCCTGCTGCGCCTGCGCCACACGCTGCGACGAGGCTGTTGTTTTCCTCCCCATCACCAGCGTACCCGCACGCGCCATCGCCGAAGACAACGCCGCTGCCGGAGGTGAAGGAGGAGGCGGAGCCTGAAGCAGCAGCGACGCCCAGTACAGCGGCTGATGCAGCACACGACACAAAGAAGCAGCAACAACAGAAGAAGGGGCAGCAACAACAGAAGAAGGGGGAGCAACAACAGAAGAAGGGGGAGCAACAACAACAACAACAACAACAACAACAACAACAACAACAACAACAACAACAACAACAACAACAACAACAACAACAACAACAACAACAACAACAGCAGCAGCAGCAGCAGCAGCAGCAGCAGCAGCAGCAGCAGCAGCAGCAGCAGGGTGTGCGGCGTTTTTCGCGGGACAAGTCGGGATCTGTCAAGGGCTTTCGCCGGACGTCGAGTGCACGCGCACGGATCATGCGCGGACAGTGGCAGCAGCAACAGGAACAGCAGCAACAGCAGCAACAGCAGGCGCAAGAAGCTGTGGAGGATGACAAGTCGGCGGTGACACCGCAGGGCGGGACACAGGCGAAGCCAAAGAAGAAGGGACGATCGCTATCGCTGCGCCTTTTGGGAACACGAAGAAGCTCGCGTGGTGCTCGCAGCAAGGACAGCAGCAACAGGGGTGATGGGGGTGCCACAGCACACACGTCTGCATCTCCCACATCAAATGCGTCTGGCGAGCATGGTGAGGGCATGAACGGGGATGCTGCTTCGTCAACAGACGCAGACGAGGATGTGCTATCACCATTGTCCCCCGCGTCACACGATTCAACGGGTGCGTACAGCTTTGATTCGAGTACACGTGGTGCGCAGTCTGACACGCCCGCTCTCTCCGAAGCGCGCTTGCACATGCACAGCGGGGTGACACCCACGACAATGGTTGCTGGTGTGCGACGTGCTGGCTCCATGCCAACGCAGTTGCGCTCTCCGTTGAAAATGAAGGCCAAGCGTGCCACCCTCACTAGTGTCCACACCTCCTACGTCTGATTGCGCGCACGCGTGTGTATGTGTCTGTGTGTGTGTGTGTGCGTGTGCGTGTGCGTTTGTGTCTGTGTCTGTATGTTGTGTGTGTGTGTGTCCTGTGTGTTTGTCTCTGTGTGTGTTGTGTTTGTCTCTATGTGTGTGTGTGTGTTCTGTCTGTATCTTTGTGTGCGCCTGTTCCCTGAGTTCTTGTCGGGAAATGGTTTCTTGTGTTTCACCACGAGAGAGATTCAGCTTGTTGTTCATACAGATGATGCTCGCACCAGACTCTTTGTTTGCTTTCTCCCACGCCCCGTGTTACCTACTACACGTTGTTCATACGCGCTGTCTGGCACACAGAGTTCTGGTTTCTACTATCCGTTTGCTTGTTTGTATTGCGGAAGGCACTTCCGGCAAGTTGTTTGCTCTCCTCCATGGAAGGGGGCGGGCGCAAAACACACCAACCAATGAAGCAGACAAGGCCAGAATTCAACAATTCAGTTGAACACTCACTCAGGATTGATTCAAATACACATAAAATTATCCACAGCGTGGATGAGGCACACGCGCGAGAGCACAGACACACACACACACACACACACACACACACACACACACACACACACACACACACACACACACACACACACACACGCACACATATGTTGTTTACATTACTCCACTTGCTTGCCCCGTCCGCTTGTAGCCTGGCTTGCTCCCTCGCTACCGTTCTTGCCCGTCGTGTGTGCCGTCAGACCATCCATTGGCGCCATTGTTGTGACTCCAGGCCCCACCGTAGGCGCTCGCGCTGCCGTTACCTGTCCTGGTGACACTTGCCCTGGTGCCCCATGCTCTGATGTGGCTGTAGCTGTGCCTGCGCCTGTGCCTGCGCCTGTGTGCGGTTGGGGTGCAGGCAGCACGAGCGAGCCGTTGCTGACAGCTGGAACGGAGAGCCCCATGTTTGCATCCGACATGTGCGCGCGCTTTGGCGGGTTGGGTTCGTCCTTCGACCTCTTCCAGTTCTTGCCGTGGAAGATGATGTGCATGGGGTGGTTGAATGTTTCCTCGCCAATCACCCGCATCAGGTGTCGGTCACCCTGCAGCCGACGCGCAAATACATAAAAGGTGAGTGAGTGTGTGTGTGTCTGTGTGTGTGTGTGTGTCTGTCTGTCTGTCTGTCTGTCTGGGTGTGCGTGTCTGTGTGTGTGTGTGTGTGCGTGTGTGTGTGTGTGTGTGTCTGTGTGTCTGTGTGTCTGTGTGTCTGTGTGTCTGTGTGTCTGTGTGTCTGTGTGTGACATGTGGTCAACAGCGGAATTTTGCACGCGACGCAGCACCATCTTCTGCGCCCCCCCCCCCGGGGTCCTCTTGTCTTTCACTTCCGCTCAGACAGCCACGGCCTGCTGAAGCAAGTCAAACCACCGACCTGTGTACCGCGTGTGCAGTGCTTGACAGTGACCTTGGCGGTGCAGCTGATGCTCTTGCGCATGCCCAGCGTGGCGTCCACGGCCATCATGGCCTTGATGCTGGCAGGTTGCATGCGTCCCCCGCCAAACTTGGCGTTGGTGATGCGCACGTTTGCAATCGAGTTGCCTGAAAGGCGCACGCGGCCAAAGGAGGTGCTGCGGTGATAAAAGCCAACCTGATGATGGAGATGATGAGGAGAATGGCAGCAGTGGCGGTTTTGAGATGGTGTTGGTTGCGAAGGAACGGGGGGGGGGGTGGCCGATGGACAATTACGTGCGACAACATTCGGCATGTGTCTGTGTGTGTGTGTGTGTGTGTGAGGCGAAAACACACGCGCACACTCACACATGCAAACAAACAACGCATGCACGCAACACAAAAAAAAAAGCTCATACACACGAAGAACGCATGTGCAGGTGAATAGACCTGGATGATGAGACCTTCGTCGTGGCCCTCGAGGTCAAAGAACATGGCTGCGTCCGCTTCGCTCGGGAGCGCAAACATGTTACCGCTCGTGGTAAAACCAACAAGCTTTGGTTTCGAAGGGAAGGCCGGCGAGAGGGTTAGTACAACCGCAAAGGCACGCGTGACAAGCACGTTCTCGGGGATGGTGACAGACTGGAGGTAGCGGGTGGCCCCCCGCGGTGCAGGGGAGAGGCCAAGCATGTGCTGCAGGTGTATGCTGTGCGCAAGCTGCGAGTTGAGGAGTGCCTGGTTGTCTTGCTGTGGTTGCTGGTGCTGTTGCTGACCACTGCTGGCGTTGCTTTCAGCACTGCCATCGCGCTGCCGCTGGCCTTGCTGCTGCTGTTGGTGCTGTGGGTGGCGTAGCGAGGACGGAAGCAGACCCTGTGGCTCAAACCCTTGTCCCTGTGATGCAGTGCGACTGTGGCCACCCTTCCTCTTCAACGCGCTACCGGACGAAAGAACAGCTGCCATGGACGCGACTGACGTGGTGCTACTGGCCACAGTCGTGCCTGCAGGCATTGGCGCTGCTGTGCTGCTGGATGACTGCGACGTGGCGGCGGGGAAGGCAGCCGTGTCCGCGCCGGATGTTGACGGCTGCCGCTGCTGGGGCACCAGGCCTGCCGTGGCCGGGGTCTGCCCAGACGCAAGGGACCCCATCATGATCTGCTGCTGCAAGGCTGCAACCTGGGGAGTGGTGCTGGAGATGCTCTGGGTTGTTGTTGCGGCATGGGGGTGAGCGCCAACAGCCGCCGCTGACAATGCGCTGTTCCCTAGCCGTTGCCGCTGCTGCTGCTGCTGCTGCTGCTGGTACTCCTGTGCTGGGTGCTGCCGCTGCACAGCCGCAGCCAGGGCAGCGAGCGAATTCGCAGCATCCAAGCTGCTCACACTGGACGCCACAGATGCTGACGTTGGTGCGGCGGAGGTGGGCACCCGCTGCTGTTCGCTGCCGTCTGCGTAGGACGTTGCTGGCGCAGAAACACGGTCGTCAGTGATGGACACCGGGACGGCAGGTGATGCTGTGGACGTTGCTGTTGCTGACGATGACGGGGTGTGTTGGAGCAGCATGGATGGCAGTTGCGATAACGAAGGATGTTGTTGCTGCTGCCGTTGTTGTTGTTGTTGTTGTTGTTGTTGTTGTTGTTGTTGTTGTTGTTGTCGTTGGTGGGGCGACTGAAACTGGGGCAATGGCGAGGGCTGCTGCTGCTGTGCCTGCTTCTGGGACTGCCGGTCATCTTCAAGAAGCTGCTGTTGTGCTGGTTGCTGTGGCTGTTGTGCTTGCAGCCCATGCATGGAGGGCGTTGCCGTGTGCGCTGGATAAGGCCCAATGGACAGGAACGGCAGCATGTGCGCTGCCGGAATGGTGACTGCGGTTTGCTGGGTATCCTGGCCAGAGAACTGCATGCGCGGGGTTGAGCTGAGGCTGGCAAGCAGCTGCTGCACGTCAGAGTGTGGCGGTATCAAGTTGGCCAGCATGGCCATTGACGCGCTTGTCGATGTGGGCGCTGATGCCAGCGATGATGACGGGTTTGGTGGCTGCTCTTGCTGCTGGTCATGCATACGAGTTGATGTGCTCGTGGCTGGATCGGTGGTGTTGGATACATCGTTGTCGTTGCTTGTCTGTGCGCGCGCGAGTGTGTGTGTGTGTGTGTGTGTGTGTGTGTGTGTGTGTGTGTGTGTGTGTGTGTGTGTGTGTGTGTGTGTGTGTGTGTGTGTGTGTG